GAACTGCATGAAGGTTGGAGCTGCATTGGTTTGCTGTTTGACATTTGAAATACAGGGTGTTAGGATTTTAAGAGAATAGAAAATGTAGAGACATCAAGTAGAAGAATGACACGAAAGACACTTTCATAAAAACGCGTCATGTCAGCCAGGAAGTAGTGGAGCGATGACAGATTACCGCCATTGTTTCTAAAGCAGTCTGTTATTTTTAGACTGATATGGTAATAATTTTTACTGACTTGTTGACAATCCTGTCATCTGTTGATGAATAAATGTATTTCTCAGGTGAGGTATATACAAAATACTACAGTTGGAGGTTAAGATATTAGGTTAAGATATCTCTTGTAATATCTTTTATGGCCAGACTGATTTGCATATATTGGCACACAAAAAGTAATAATGGTCTGATGGACTCGTGGTATATAAGGGAAGAAGGGCTTTAACGGTCACGCAGTTGATTAGCCTTGGCTATATGTAAATTTTAGCTTTGTGTTCACTTTGCTAAAATTCACCACTCACATTTTAAAGCCTTACTTCCTTGAAAGATCTGTTATCAATTGCCTGTAAGTGATAACTGAAATGCTAAGCTAATGTTAGCTTCTAATATATTGCCCAGATATTGGAAGCAAATATTAGCTCAGGATATAGAGAGGGTTGTCTGCCAGTCAGAAGGCTGGTGGCCCAGTCTGTCCAGTCTGCATGTCAAAGTATCCTTGGGCAAGATACTGAACCCAAAGGTGCCCATGATGCTTCCATCGGGGTGTGAGTAAGAAGGTAATTGTTAAACAAGATACTAATGCAAAGAAAAGAAAAAAATGTTTGTATGAATGCATATGTCAAAAGTACTTGGAGTCCTCAGTTAGGTAGCAGAAAAGCTCTAAATAAGTACCAGTTCATTTACCAATTACCTATTGAGTGCTGGCAGCAAAGTTAAATATGGGCAAACCGCAAGACCTGTGGCTCAGTGTCTTTTGGACACAGTTTGGCCATCATGCACGGCACCAAACACAGCATATGAGCATAAACACATTATACCGATACTGTGGGGGAGGGGTGGTGATTTGGGCTTGTTTTGCAGCCACAGGATACAGGTACCTTACAGTCATCAATTGAAGTATGAACTCATCTGTATATCAAAGTTTTCCAATGTCAAATGCAAAGCCATGTTTCTAGCTAAAGCTTAGCATGCATTAGGACCATCAGCCCAGCAAGTCTCCAACAGAATGGCTAAAAAAGAAAAGAATCAAGGTGTTGCAATGACCCGGTCAAAGTCCAGACCTCAACCTGATCTAAATGCTGTGGTGGAATTTTGACTGCCATACATAAAAAATGGCAGTAAACCTCACTGAACTGAAACAATCCTGAGAAGAAGAGTTGGCCACGATTCCTCCACAATGATTTGAGAGATTGATGAAGTCATAGTGAAAACAATTAGTTCAAGTTATTGCTGCCAAAGGTGATTAGTATACTTTTTCACACTGCCATTGGCTTAGTTTTTATTGAATAAGTAATATCATGTTTTAAAATGTTATGTGTTGTTGCTCATCTGAGGTCATCTAATTTTAAGATTTGTCATAGACCAGATCATTTTTTATTTTATTTTACTGTGCTGTGATATGCTAAACTTTAGTTTTGATGAAGGGTGTTATTACTCATTCACGTAACTATACAAAGGCCTAGGCTTGACATCAACATTCAACAGTCTCTTTAAAATAGTTTCACATTAGGGTAAAGTAGCTAGAAGTACCGACAGTAAAATGATTTCATATAAAGCTGTAATGCTATGAGAATTGATTTTACATACATATATACAGATAGTCTGTATATGTTTTAAAAATGTGTATAACAGCTGTAATGAGAAAGAGAGACCCAACTATTTCTATGTGATAAGGACCTAGTCTACATGTTATTTTTTCCCTTCTTTTCATAAAAAACATTACAATGGGGCTTTTTTTTTTTTCCAAATTCTGAGAGCACCTTCTGCATCTATTGCTCACTTGCACAGTAACATGAATATGTAGCTGGCAGCTTGCCAGAACAGTAGGGTTTCCTGTCACCATGGTGGTTTGCTCACATTAAAGGTCTGAGAGTGTTTTTATTCTGGTCAGCGGTGTGTAGGTGTTTTCTGTGGGGTTCTCCCCCACAGCAGAGATGACAACCAGAAAACACTACAGAATGAGAAGTCACTGCACAGCAAAAAGAAAAAGAAAGCGGTTAAGAGAGACAGATCAAGAAATACCTAATACAATTACTGTAATGAGCAAACCATATTTACAGTAACTTTAAAGTTTAGTTTGATTGAAACTGTCTCATTGCCATGGAGAGACAGCGATCAAGTAAGAGAATTATATTGGGGTTTGGTGTTCTTTTAAGTACAGTACTGGGGTAAAAACATTTGCCAATTCTGGGCATTCACAACAGTTAAATATCAATTTCAGTAGCAAAAACAGCAGTGGTCTTGGATGTCAGACGCTTCCCAAAGTAGGTTCTAAACACTGGGTTTTAATTTGGAACTCTATTTTAGTACAACTTAATGCGTAATAAATCTAGACCATGCTTTTTTTGCAAAGTCGGGCAATAACAAGTCAAGGCCTGCAGTGTTTCTTAGTAGTTTTTTAAAATTTGGGCTTGTAAAAATACGTTAAATAACCAGAACATCAGGATAATGAGTCACATCCATTTTGGAAAGATTTCACATTATTCTGTGAGTCAGTCGAACCAACCTGCAAATGAAAAGAAATGGACTTACCTAAACCTAATCATACCAAAACACAAAAATTGCAATAAAAACGACTTGCTTTATCCGAACAAAGCTGTGAAAGCAAGCACAAATATACGTACCTTACATTCATAAGTGATGCTTCTGTGATTCACAGTGTTACTCACCTCTTCCCATTAAACACTGTGAGCTCTTGACAGTAACACAGCAACAAAGAACTCCATAATAGGAGAATGTGTTGTGAGACTCTGTAATTTTGTAATATTGTAACATTGTGATCTAAGCACACTTTTTTCACTGGTGACTGAGTGACTTAATTTCCTTTACTTTCTTGGAAAGAGTGTACTGCTGTCAAATGAATGGCAGTAAGCAGGATGTTGCATTGTGTTGCCATCTATGACAAACAAACTTGGTAACTACATCATCATGACTTCTAGTTGCTGGTGCATATCAAAAAAGGTTGTGTCAGGATTTTCACTTGGCTATTTGGCCGATATTTTTGGCTATAATTCTATTGCTATTTTAACAGGGAAAAAGTTGCTAATAGTCACATAATAAAAATAGTAAGATTAAATAAGAAGGAAAGGATTTAAAAGGCCCAGTCTTTTTGTTTGAGTTCAGCATTCCTGGGTTGTCTGTCTGGTATCTAGACTCACATTGGCAGTTAGGATAAGGGGTCACACAAAGCTGATTACTAGCTCCCTAAGTTAACTCTGGTTTTCACATTAAACCGCATCTAACCAATTATGGATGAGTGTCCTGGATGATTTTAAAAAGAAAGGTAAAACTATATTAGAGGTTAAGCACATAATAAAGAATGAAAGTGACACAGGTGCTGCAGACAAAGTAACAGTGTGAGATTGTCCATTTGTTTAGTGTTAAAAGCCCATATGACTGTCTGTGTGCTTCAAACATTTTGTCTACTAAGACTGGAAAACTGTTACTATATATTTATTGACTTATCAGTATTACTTAAAGATAATCTCATTATTATAACTATTTTATTAAATTAATGTTTGAAAGACATTTTTAGTTTTTATTCTTTCATTTGGAGCCCAGCTGTGCTTGATTATCCGAGAGACAGTGAAGAGTAAACATAAAAACAGAATTCCAGTTTAAGCTTACTCTATGTGAAAATTGAATACAAATAGGTGTTTTGTTTTAGGATTATATATTTATTTACATAGAACATTTTAATTGTAAAATTGTTTGCAACCAATTTGCACAAGGATCTATATTTAATCAATAATTTATATTTAATACTGATGCTCATGAGGGAAATACAAAGACTAGATCTTTTGCCTTTGACTTAATTTTTTCTAATTCTCTATTTTTAACATGGTTTGATTTATGCTATTTGTATATCTACAGCACTTTGTGAATCCTAGTTTTATCTATTTTTTTTTTATAAATAAAGGTGGGGTATGGCAATAAAAATCTATACCCCTATACTAGCTGTGCACAGAGGTCTCAGGGATCATTCAGTAATGGCGATACTGTTTTCAAGAGAACAGATTGGTCAGTTGGGCATGATTTTATACCTGTTCATCTTTATTTATTGCTCTTTTTTTAACATTAATGCTCATTCAAAGCCTGGATAAAGGGGCCAGTTGCATCAGGAAAGTCACCTGATAGAAAACCTGTGCTAAATCAGATTACTAGCGAGTGAATATGGGTGTACACAATTTAGGAATTTAAACATTAAAATACATTCCCACAAAAAACTTTTTAGACTTCTGGGACTGTGCAAAGTGAATTTTCAGTAAGACGCAGTGAATGGAAGTCACTTTTGAGTAAAAATAAACCTGTAAAACAGGTCAAATGTCTCCAAACAGATAACACTGTTCCAAAACTAGACAATGATCTCAGTTTTTTAAATGATTTTGATTAAATGGATTCAATTCTTATCAGATTAACTTGAAGAGAGAAGAATGCATTTGTATTTCTAGATCACTGGCCAAGAGCGTTGAGGCACAGCGTGCTAAGAAAACAGTGCAAATACACAAACGCAAGCAAATTTGCCCTGCAGCTACATGACTCAGGCGTTAAAAGCTAAATAAATACCTGTCTGAAATTCGGCAGCACTCCTGTTTATAGTTGTCTCATTATTATCTGAAGTTATGTTTTGACCAGTTTCATGTGACCTTTTTGGTGTTTGTCAAATCTGGCAATTGCATTGTGTGTATTGATGCGTTATCACAGAAGGCCCAATCGATCACTGGATTTCAAAAGCAGTCACACACAAATTTGCTATCCTGGCATGAATGCACTTGAAAACACGAGATGTATAGAAACAATAGCTTTAATGTGCTACATCATGTAAATATAAAAGTATCATCAAAATAGTCTCTCACATATAAATTCTTAACATATCATAACTTGTTTGCAAAAATAAACTACATAAACAAACATACTGTACAGTTAAAGCACTAAAAACAAAGAAAAGTATATTACTCAATAGTAAAAGTTTTAAAGAATGGTTCCTAGTTACCTTTAGGCAAAAGCATACAGATATTGCTGCTTTATTATTACAGTGCCACAATACAAAAGTATTAAAAAGCTGGAAAATTGTGCCCCTTTGTTTGCACATAGTTTTTTTTTTTTTTTTTTTTGTATTGCTGAATGAGGTACCGATGTTTCAGTTAAGATTTGGATGAAGCTCTTTTTCTTTTTCTTTTTCTTTTTTTTTGCAGTAACATCTGGAGTGAAACTTTTGTGTAAGAGACATGTAAAACGTTTGAATCCAACAAAAAGCTGTAAGAAAGATGAAACCTCTTTGTTTCCAGAGGAACCTGTTTAAATAACTGTTTACACTGAATCTTGTCTTTTGTTTCTTTTGGCTACATTATGGTTTGATCAGGACGGTGTGTCTTTGATATCCAAGTTGGCAAGTAATCATCGAAAAGGTGAATAATGCTTTGACTGAATCTCTTTAGAATGGAAAAATGAGTTAAATAACCATGTGAAAATATTGCTACATATTCATGTTTTTTGATTGTAATTTTGGCAAATGCTTATTCCCAGCAGTTTCAGGACACATCAAGTTTCCCTTTATCATAAATAAATAAGACAATCGCAGATAATATTAGGAGCTGGTTTGTGCTATCACTGCGTCCTGCCTTTGATTGACAAAGTAAAATAACGCACACAGTACAATATAACAAGTGAAGGCTCATCCACAGGTTCGTGCCACGTTGTTGTTCCTGAGTCTATTTGCGGTCTTACCAAGAGCTCAAAATCTCTTTGGAAACGTCAACACACAGACGCAAACACACAAAAATAATACTACTAGAAAAAAACAAACTAAGAGACAACTAAATAAATAACGCTGATGGCATTTAAAAAAGGAATAAGTTAAAGCACAAAAAAACAATCGTCTACCTGAGTAAAAGGGTTTTTAAATACTTCACAGCTTAACAACACCTCCCATGTTTATCTTTTTTAACTGAGGTTTGGGAGAAAGTACAATCACTGAATACTATCACCCAGTCTTTGGAATGCTCTTCTTTTGGTGTTGTGCTCATTGGATTGGCTAAGTTAATATTCCTTGTTATGCCTCGTATGGCACAATAGGAGATTTCATTTGGTGACACTCATATTCTTGGTAGATTATATGCTGTATGTTCAACTTTATATTCCTTTTCACTGTCCTTCTGTTTTCACAGATGGCCGTTTGTGGAGATGAACAACGCTGGCCCTCTCCTGGTAGGCGAGAGGGGGATTGTGGTGTGGTGCCGATTGGGTCATGGGTGTCAGTGGTGCATTAATAGCTGCAGTCAGAGCTTTTAGCAGCATGGTGGCTTCCTTCTGGTCTTCTTTTCCTTCACCTTCTAAGGTACGAGCCAGCCAGTGCTCGACGGCTTCCCCAACCTGAGACGCTGATGCTGCTTCTGTGAGCACGTCTGCCTCTTGGCTGGCATCAAACCGCTCCACCATCTCTTTCATGTGCACATTGGCAGGCGTGCTGGAGTTAGCTGGGCAGGTGCTGCGCTGGTGGATGCAGAGAGAGAAATGGTGGAAAAAGGCCTGGGCGCAGAGCTGGCAGCGGTAGGGACGGTCGCGGCTGCTGTGGAGACGGCGGTGCAGCTTGAGGTGGATGTACTGCGTGAACTTGGTGTTGCACAGCTTGCACTGATAAGGCTTTTCCCCAGAGTGTAGTCGTAGATGCGTCTTCAAGTTGCTGGTGCTGCTGAAGCGCTTGTGGCACACCTGAAACACATGGTGTGAAAGGTCAGCACTTCTGTGAGTAACGTACACATGACTGATTCTAAAGTGAACCACCTAGTTGTGTTTAGGTTCAACTTTGATAAATGATGTCATATTATGGTATCGGGATTGATCATGTTATTCCAGTTCTCTGGGTAAAACTAGCTCCATCCAACAAACTTCACACCCACAGTGTCACATAAGCAAACAAAAGCATAAAGATGCTGTCGCATGACAAACTGGGTTGTGGCTCGGTGAAAATCAAATAGACACTGCATTACCAGAAAGGTATGTGAGTCAGAAAGCGGTTACCTGTTTTGTGTACACACTGAGTTTCTCTGTGTCTCTCATACTCTCGGTTTTACATCAACATTTCTTAAGTGAAGGGTTGAAACAATAAACAGTAACATTTTCTGAGTAAAGAGCTTGCATATGAAGCACGTAAAAAGGAAGATAAAAAAACACACAAAGGTTAGGATTATCAACATACCTGACATTCATGTGGTTTCTCTCCCGTGTGGACCAGGTGATGTTTCTGTAGGTGGGCAAGCTGAGTGAAACTCTTTTTACATAGGTTACACTGGAATGGTCTCTCGCCACTGTGCACTCGGAGGTGAACCTAGAGACAAATGATAGAAATTATACAAAGAGAAGTCATGAGTATTGAGGAACAACAGTAATAAGTGTAAAGTTTAGCTTAAAAAATAGGAAGTTATTGAAATGAAGTTAATGTTGTTACCTTGAGGTTTGACAGCTGTCCGAAGGTCTTTGAGCAGATATTACATTCATACTTGATCTTTCCATTCTGCTTCTTCAGTGGATAGGGCAGGGATTTGTGACCAGGCCCATTGCGTGGTGCAGTGCTGCTTTTGGTTGTAGCCAGGCTTAGGTTCATAGCCTCCTCACAGCCAGAGGGGGACTGCTCAGGGGACTGATAGTGGCTGTTGGGCTTGGCGGGAGGGGAGAGCTCTGGAGTGGCTGGGGCTCCTCTCGGTGGGGAAATATTTGGTGTTAGCTCTTTCAGACCTCCTTGTGGAGATGGGGTGTAGGAGAGAGACACTGGAAGAAGATTAGGTGCGCCGATAGGGGGATACGGGAGTCCGTCAGCGCCGAGGTAGCCGCTGTATTGGAGCGAGCCTCTCGATGACAGCATCCCATGAAAGGGAGGAGAGTATGGGGGGAGCAGGAGGCGAGGATAATGTGGGTTGTAGGGAGGAAGGAATTGATAAGAAGGCTGGAGAGGTCTGGACTGTAATGGGGGGTAAGATGACACCAGGCCTTCTCTGTGCCCATAGAGCCCGTGGAGGTGAAGAGGAAGATTCCTGTGTGGAGCTGGGAATGTAGAGTAGTGATCTGGCAAGTAAGGATGATTTAGACCCAGACTGGGCTCTCTGTGCTCCAGCTGAGGGGAAGGAATGATGCCCCTTCCTTCTGGATCCTTATTGTCCTTCTCATCTTTTTTGCTGAAGTCAATTATCTGGTCATCAGGTGTGTCAGGTGGAGTGTCTCTCTCCAACATCTCCACATCAATCTTTTCTTCTGCGTCACTGTCCTTCCCTTCTTTTACCCCTTCCTTTGCTGTTTCTTTAAGCCACGTCTGCTGAGGTAAGTGCTGTTTCACATACTCATGCTCTTGGTCTTCATTGTTACTCGTGTATTCTGTCACAGAAAAATAAATACAAGCATTTAGCTTTTTAACAGTGTGTGATGAAATCACCACATCAAACAGAGGGCAAAAAAGTAGGCAGTCAGTTTAATATGATGCTCGTTGTGTAAGTCAAACATGTTTTACAGGCATTATGGGACATCCACCCACAGAAGGTGCTTCTTCATATGGTAAATGATAGTAGTTTCGGTTTTGACATGATGTGTAAATCATAGATGACAGGTTTCTGTTCGGCAATCACTGAAGTTCTTTTGGTGTGGGAGAAAGAGTTGGTGGTAAAGTGAGGGGGAGTCTGTATGTGTCATGTATGGGCAGCAAGACTGTGAGTTTCGTTTGTAAAACCTTTTCTGGGTATACAGCAGCTGTCTTACCGTACAGACCACACAAAAAAAGAAAGAATCGTCTCTTCCTTTTTTCCTTTGCTTTCTTTGTTTTGAGATGGCATTTCCACGCATGTTATTTGTCCAAATTAGCCCTTCTCAGCTACTGCAAGATTTCACTATGTGAGTTATACTTAAAGTATGAGTGACTCATACGGCTCCTTTGCATAACTTTATTATCAACAATTTGCCAAAGTGTTTATAGTGTTTTACATCAATAAAACGCAAATTAGAAGGCATCAGCTTATAGAGACAAAAGCTTTATAGATCAGCTTGTATTGTACTTTAAAAACAAGCTGATTAAAATGGCCTTGAGAAATTTTTAGCATTCTGTGCATTTCATTGATGCCAGAAAGCATAGGCAACCAGTTCCAGAAAACTAGCTGTCAAACTTGATTGCATACGTTTAATCAAGTTCCGGAATATCTAGCACGCAACACTTAACAGTCCTGGCCTGTGACTAAAAGGAAGGTAAATGCTTTCAAGATACCTAAGATGATAAAATAAGGCAATAATACCTTGCCTTGCCTTAGCATTAGTCACCAAGAAGAACAGCGACAAGGTTTGTGTATCCAGTTGGAATGAATCACCAGACTTACCCTCATCTGTTATGGTGATGAGGGAAAGACCTGATGTTCTACTAATAGTTGAAAACCGGTGACTCACTAAGGTACTTTGACCAGCCATTATACACCTGAGATTACTTTTGCTTTCCTTCAATCCTACAATGAATAACAAACATCTCACAAAACGCGGAGATGTGCTTTGTCTGCGTGTGGCTCATACATTCCCCATGATCTTTTTAAAATTCAACTCACTATTGTATAAGTCAAACAGAAAGAAAAAGAATCAAATCAGCTAACTTGTTTGTTGGTAAAAGAGATAACATCAGGCCTTTTTTTAAAGGAATGGAATAACGTGTCTTCATTCACTTTGAAGTGAAAGAATTTCACTGATAAGAGTTATCGCACAGTCTTCGTGACACTTGTTTACTCATTGCACTGATCTAAATCTGTCACTTTATTGGATATTGTGCCTAAATATACCAAAGTCGTTTTCAAGTCATTGTCCTGCGTCGCCGCTACAGCTGGTAATCAACTTCCTTTCACTTCTTTATATGAAACATAGGCCCACTAAAAAGTTTTTAAAGTAAAGGCCAAATCAAAACACAAATCAGCCACTATACTGATACTTTCAACAACGTACATCTCAGGAAGTAATAAGGGACAGTGCGGTTTGCTTCCGGTGGTTCAGCATATTAGTTAAGCTTGTCCACTGTAAGTTCTACAAAGGAAAACTATCAGTCTCCCGTGTAGAAAGATTTTACACTCCTGCTGCACTCACTCTGTTTGATATCGTCTTGCTGGCCGCAGAGCCTCTGGGCGAACTCCTGACTGTACCAGACCAGCAGTTCCTGTTTGGGCTCCACAGGGCGGATGGTGTAGAAGTAAATGTCCCGTCCATTCTGGCATGCCACCAGGTTCTGTTCGGCAAGAGAGCGGGCAGGGTTGACGTAGCGCATCCAATTGCTCCTGTGGACATCGTAGCCATCAATGAAGTGTTGGAGCTGTCCACCGCTATAAATCTGTACAAGATGAAGAAGAAGAAGATGAGGTAAAATCACATGTTCACATATGCGATAAGTCTGATTGATAATAATATATATTATATATTATGTTATTATAATTATATATTTAGATATATATATTATATATATATATATATATATATTATAGATGAAGAAGAAGAAGATGAGGTAAAATCACATGTTCACATATGCGATAAGTCTGATTGATTGATATATATATATATATATATATATATATATATATATATACATATATATTACCACTCTAGTGGTCATCAATTGGGACAGTACTGGAATGTTGCTTAAATAGTAAAAAAAAAAAAATCAATAAAAAACTCAAGTGCAATTAAAACTTAAAGTAAAAATAGTCACCTCTGCCATGGGCAATTAAATATCCTGTATCCTCTTCAGTTATCAGTGACAGTATTTTGCTCCTTTTATTCGTGCCTTACACCTCTCCACTGTGTGTGCTGAAAGCTACAGTCTTGAATGTGTTGAGTGCTGAGTGCATGTACTGCTTTTAAGACATAGTGGGCGGGGTCTCTCTCTCTCTGTCTGTCTCGCTCTCTCTCTCTCTGCCTCTCTCCCTCTCTATCGCTTGCCTTGCCACCTCTATCAAGTCCTCTTTTGGTGGTGGTTTCAGTAAATTACATTTGTCGGATAAATTCCTGTTGTAAAGTTAATTACGATCTCGTAATTCAAAAGTAAAGAAGATGACACATCTGCTGCTCTGTGATAATAAACAAGCAAGCGAAATGTAAAAGTGCTGGCAGCCAGCCAAACGCGAGGCATGCCTTTGGCAGCACGTCTGCACATGTCATGCACCTGTGTCATGCGGCCGATAACATAATCACTTCCGTGGAACGGCGACTTTCACTCTTGTGGTTAAGGAACACCCCTTACAGGTTTACAGGAAGTGAAGCCGGAAGGAAAATACGTAGCATGGCAGTAAAAACTCCTTATGGGAATTGACTCAGCACAATGCAAAATTTCCTAAGTGACACAAGCTGAGTCAGGATTACTTTGTGAAAGCAAATCTGAACAATCTAACTTAAAACGAGTGGAAAGATAAGGATTCTGTGAATATGTGCATGTGGATTATGAAAAATAGTCCTATCCTTTGTGCATGTGACATATGTTACATAGGGCTTCAGTGCCGGTAAGAGTCTCATGACTGTGTAAGCATTCCAATCCACTGTTACGTGCCACCGGCGGTCACAACTTCCTCTAAAATTTTGACCAAAACTTCTGTGCGGCAGTGCAATCTGTGTGAACGCATTTCTTTCCCCTATTGACGTATGGACAAAGACTTGATGTGAAACTTCTCCCTCTGAGCAACCAGTGTTTTCTGTTTTCTTTTTTTTTTTCATGAATAACAGACAAAGACCTGTCCATAGTAATTTCTTGTCTCTTCCCAGTCTCGTTTTTTCACATTTAGGCTCGAAACTTTCCCCTTCTTAAGCAGTACCTTGCCAGTGAGTTGGTTTATGCTTAAATGTCAGTGTACGAAAAAGCTTGTAAAGCATGTGGTTTCCCTTACCCTCCAGAAGTATTTCCTGTTGGCCAGCTTGGGTACATTGTCTTTGGTGTAGATTTCTCCTTGCAAAGGGCCAAAACGAGTCCCTTGTGGAATGTACTCTTTGCTGAACACACCTGTCACCTGGAAAACAGGACAAATAAATCATTGGAGTTTTTCATGTACAAATATACTACAACACAAGTCTTTCAAGCACTTATAAAGAAACAGTATTAATTACTTATTTATTCATTGTTTACATGTAAGGGTTAGTGCTTGTTGGCCCGTGTTGCCCGTTTGTTGTCACTCTGTCACGTTAACCCAGACAGCTCCTGGAGCCACAAGGTGACCCACTTTCAACTCTAATGAGTTAAACGAATGAAGGGTATTACACTCTTTCTGACATACTCTACTGATCTCTGACCCACTGTCCTCACAAACACCAGAAAGCGAGAGAGAGGAAAGACAGAAATACAGATGTCTTGTTAACCACCACTAATACAATAATACTAATACTTTTATAGTTTTAAGTCAACAAAATGCCAACAGGAAACAAAGATGGAAGACATATTTTGCTCACTCTTTAAAACCCTTCATCCTTTTATCCATTGTTGCGAAATGGTCCATATATGTGGAAATGAGTCAGGCTTCTGACTCCTTATAGGAGTTTCAAGTCTTAGCGTCTCCTGAATACGTACGTCATACACATAATGTACAGTATGTTCCAAGAAGAGCCTGTAGTGTTCTGCAGTAATGGTCGTAATCAGTAACTGAGTCATTTTTAGTCTATTGATGTACCTTTATAGTGTTTTATTTTTTTGTTTTTTGCTTTTTAAAATTTAGTTTAAAAAATCTATTGCGAGGCCTTGCTGGATATGGCACAGTGTGATCTGATTTGTTATTTATATTTAATACAAGAGTAAGACTTACAAAACATACTAAAACATGCACGCACACACACACTATCAAGAAGCCGTATCTGCAGAACAGGCAACTTTCATGTTCAGTTCTTAAAAAACCAACGACCCCTAACTGAAACTTTTAGCCTCCACCGCCACCGCCACCGCCACCCCCATCCTCAACCTTACATAAACACAAACTGTCTTCCTGCCATCTAGAAATTCTAACTCAAGCTGGCCCTCGAGGATTTTCATGGACTTCCATATGAAGGTCAACACATGACAGACAAAAAAAAATGCAACAAGCACCTGGGCATTTGTGGTGATTCATCATGCAAATCATGCTTAAGCAGTTAATTAGAAAAACAACAGGTCAGTGGGAGCAGCAGGACCATGTTGGTGCGCGTGTGTGTCAAACAGCCATTGAGGCGAGTGAAGTGATTCCAGGATGTGATGAACCAGTCTGACAGGGACATTGTACTTCACTGCTGTTGCGTGACTAACAAATTGCTGCGGCCGCTGGACTGCCGCTGCTGCTTAACCGCTCCGTTCAACTCGGTTGATAGGCAGGGGAAGGGAGGGCAGGGTGTTGAAGAACAGAAGAAAGGAGGGAGAGCGTTCTTAAGTGGAGCCACGCTATCACCCGCACGAGGACCCTCCTTTTCTTCTGCCTTCCTCCAATCCCTTGTCTTTTCTGAATTCTATTGAAATAGCTTGTGTGAAGCCTGATGCCTGGCCGGCTGCCTGTCCCCAACGAAAGTTAATCATCTGGTTTTAACCTAAATCCCCACTGCCCCTTCCCCCCAGAACACCCGCTTCTCCCCATCTCCTTCACTGCCACCCCCCCACCCCGTCCTTACTGGCACTCATTACTAATGCCCCATCTGCCACGTGCCCCCTTCACCTTACTCCGCCTTTCCTGGCATGCTTTATAAAACTGAGGTGTTGAAAAAGGGGTCCCGAAAACATGTGAGGAACTCATAAGAATAAGAAGATAGTGGACCTAAGACTGCTCCCTAATCTGGCTCCAAACAAGTGTGACACTTATGTAGATGTGCGTAACAATATGCTTCACATGTTTGAAGGCATATTACACTGTTTTATTTCAGACTACTTTGATTTGACTCATCTAGCATTAATCACTCGCCCTTGGGAAAAATCCCAACTGATTTTTCGTGATAGCAGTGTGTACACCATCCCACGTGAAGGAGTGGCTGCTTACATGACTATGATAGGAAATGGATTTCCCAACTTTGGTGGCAGAGAATTGAGGAGAAAAACTTGACAACATCTTTAGAAAGGGAAACCAGTCAAAAGACATGCCCTCATACTTCCAGTCATAAGAGTGCGTTCGTTCTTGTTTTCATGTCCCATTTCGCAGCTGTCGTTGTTTCAGTTGACAGAGCACATTCCCACATACGTGCATACAAGCTTAATTCTCTTTCATTAAATGTTTGTTTTTCTAGTTAGCTAAATGCAACATGTAATAATGCCAACAAGCACTGACAAGCAAACTGCTAAAATCAAGTTTGGTATAGTGTGAGTGTACGAAACGGTGGTAACTGTGTTTTAGTCAGTAAATGAGGGTGGGGGATTTGAATCAGCCATCAATGTGATTTTTATCATGTTAGCTTTCATGCTTTTCTCATCCTGCAGCGGTAAATGCTGCAGAAGGAGGAAGAACAGATTAGAGTGTGAGACCAAGAGAAGAGGAACGATGTCAGGAGAAAAAAGAGGAAGGGGACAGCAAAACCAACCACAAGTATCGCAGTACTGAGCCTTAAGAGCGAGCACAGATGAAGTGAGTGTGACATTGCTTTCTCTTTTAAAATGATGTGTTTCTCAGGTACAAAACAAGTTTCCTCTTAAAGTCACGCTGGGGGCCAGGTCTATAGTTGTTCAGATTAGCTGACATGCCTAGGCAAAGGACTGATCCTACTTCAGCGGTGGCCAACAGTCAGCTGACTGACCGACAATGACTATCAAAGCCATGTTGCCAGACGTTGTGTTTGCGCTGGCTGACTCACCTGAGTGGAGGAGGATTAGGGGGTAAAAATGACAGTTGTAAAGATAAATGAATGAGATCATTTATTGGAAACAGCTGATTCTTGTCATTCTGCTCCAAGCCTATGCACAAATGTGTTCGTGACCTGAGAAAATGAGTGGCGGTGTGCATTATTTGAAATGCGAGACATGGGCAAAACAGAAGTAAGTGAAGGTGGTCAGAAGACCTTGACCTCAAGCTGCCAGTGGCCTGTCTATTGAGACACACTCTCTCACTTACACAAACACACACAGACACAAAACACACGCTCACACCACACTGTGCAGGCTACCCCATACATCAAGAATGCATTAGTCAGCAGAGCTATTGTTCCAAGTAACCCGCTGCAGATGGCCTGACAGAATGTTATGTAACACATAAATAATAATATTGAGTGTAGACACTAAAGCTTTAATCTGAAAACTGGTAATAACATCAAAGACAGTGAATTGCTTGAGGGCAAAGTTATAGTAAATTGTTAGATTTTTATAACATGCTATTTCATGCATTGCATGAGGGGGCTGGTTTGTTTATATATACATGGTGTTCTGGTTGCATTGTATTGCATTTTAAAAGACGTTTCATAATTAGCCACTCTATAATCCAATGGGTAAAAACCTCAAAGGGGATTCAGTCTTACCTCATTGTCTGTGCTATATTCAAAGGTGAGGTTGCGAGGGATGGAGGTCATGGCTTTGGGCAAGTTGAAGCTGGGGTCTGCCACCTGGTCTGGCACAATGTAGGTGCAGTTGAGAGCGAAGTCCACTTCCTTCCACCCGCTCATGTCTCCAGGTGTGCTATCCAGTGTCATTTCCGACAATATACACTATACTACACTTGATAGATTCAAGCTTTAAGTTTGGTTGAAGTTGCTTTGGTATGGGAGTACTTTGGTTTAGCTGGGGAGCTAAGTTGCCTTAGGTACAATGGTTAAAGCTCAAGATCTGGAAAGAGAAATGTGGATAGAGAACAAGCTTTTAGTGCTTTAGAAACAGAACTTTGTAGTTCCCCAAAAAATTAAGCAAAACACATCTTATTATGTGAAATCAATTTGTGTAACCTGCTGTTTTAAATGAGGCCTTTTCACTTCTCAGTTATGCAGGAATGCAATTAGATGTTCAGGTATCCAAAACCACATCTGAGACCACCATAGTTTTCTGAGACTCACTACCAGTTGTTAGTCATTCATGATTCAGTCAGCTACTTCCATTCATTGATACTGTTCCTGGCCAACATCTCAACAATCACCTTTCCATTTAACCAGCCAACAGGTCAGCCTGACATCTTATGCTTACTCTTATTCGCATCCATCTTCAAACATTATTCTTACAGGAAACACCCCCCACCAAGAAAAAAGAACAAGCTGTGACTTACTTTTACACATTCATTCAAAGGCTGGATCCTCATTTCTTTGGCTATGTCATCCCCTAACTGTTTCTCCGATCAGCCTTCTCCTCTATGTACTCTCTCCTGCCTCTCAAGTCCTTCTTTACTTCTTCAAAGATTCAAATAGTTCCTTAGGTTATCCACTCGGCTGCGGCCACTCACCAGAAACTCATGTGCCGGGGTTGCGCCAAGCTTTTTTAGCTCCGCGCCCCGGCCAATCACAAGCCACTACGGTCACGTGACTGAGCCATCAGACACCCAACTGTTGGTTTCGGACAACAACATCAGTGACGTTGTACACTTGGATACCAAGTGGCTGTTGTGATGAATGCTTACACATACACACACATTCACACACGTCCACGCACACAGAAAGAAGGCATCTTAATGAATGAATAAAGGAAGAGCAGATGGCTGGCCTGTTGCCACTGAAAAACACACTCGTAGACTTTTGCTTGGTTTGGCACTTAATGAGCAATCTGCTGCCACCGTATCGCCTTGACCTACATCCCACTTTAGAACATCTTCAACTGAGGACCCCCCCTGCATTCAGATCTCAGCTGCACAAACATATATGCAGAAAAACACACGTCAGAAATTAAAGAGCACAACCTGAAACCAGGTTTTGATTTTTATTAAATATGGAAAATTTTTCACAGATACCCAATTCTCATATATGGCATATCAG